TATATATATATATATATATATATATATATATATATACAGAAAGCAAATATACAATATAATAATAACTAAATTTGTACTTGAACGCTTGCGTTATAAACGACAAGTGGTAATTAATTAATATATTGAAATGGAATGCTCTATTTTGTACATAAAGAAAAAAAATGCAAATTTTATTGCTTGAATATGATTACATCGATCAGCAATTGGAATAATTGAATCGATTACTTTTTGCACATTTGTCAAATTTTCGTTTCATGCATATTATTTCTCTTAAAACAGTTCATTTCAATTTTACTGTGAATTATTTATTACAAACTGGAAGCCATTAAAATGAACAATTCGATTGGAAGCTTAAAGTTTGATTATCATTATTAAAGTTTTAGCAATTATCATTATGGTTTGTTTATTTTTTTTGATGCTCAGTTACAATTATCAATTATCGGGAAGCTATTCAAGAGCATTTAGAAAGTTAAATAGAAATTAATCAATCTTTGTGATCTTGTCAAATAATTAATAAGAATCATTTATTTTGTTCGTATTTAATCTTTTCGTTATTTTTAATTATGTCAAGATGTAAATGACGAAGGAAAATTATCGATTTAATAATCGACGATTCTTCGATAACTTCGAATATCTTTAAATATTTTAGAAAAGATTGATAAAATAAGAAGCTAACTATAATTTAACTATAATTTCTAATATAAGACATTTGAACATTTGTGCGAAAATGAAATGCATTATATTTTCACATTTTTTTTAATTTTTATCTTTTCAAATTATCGATCTATTTGGACTTTATAGTTTTTTTAGTAAATGTATATTTCTGTAGCGTCCAAATTATCGAAAATTGGCAAGATATGTTCTGTATGAAATGTATCTTATGCCTTATAGAAAAATGTGAAAATAATAATAATAAAAAAAAAAGAAGGCACATAAATATATGTCGAAGATTTCTATGTCTAAAAAAATTTGTTTTCCTTTTTTATTAATATTTATTCAATGATTTTATAAAATTCTCTGCCCTACACAAATCCAAAGAATTATTTTGTCATCTTCAATTTTCAAAAATATTTTTGTAACTTTTGTAAAAATTTACAATTTTTAGCAAAAACTTTATTGATAAAAATATCATGTGAAAATTAAAAATACAAGAAATTCAAATTAGTCTTAAAAGATAGATGGAAGAATAATTATGAATTATTATTATCATATTCATAAACTTTTTTTCTTAATAAGAATCTACTAATTCGAAACTTTTTAACATTTTTTTAATTTTTTCATAATTTATGTTTTTTGAAACTAAGGAAGATAGGACAATTTGGTTTTTGGACTCATAGGATAAAAACTACATAAAAATAAATTATTATTATAAAACAAAATACGTGTTGACAATATTTTTTATGCTTGCAAAAATTTTCACACTCTACTTTCGATTTAATATAAGTATATACACAATCATTGTTAAAATGACATTAAAACAATATTTTTTTCAAATGAAAAAATATGCTAGTTATCGTTTGAAAATCATTATTTTTTTATATTTGTTAGATTTTTTTGTGTAGAACATCCTTAGATTGACTTTCATCGTTGTCATTTTCATTGGCAAAAACAAGTAGTTCTTTCATTTCTGCTTCCTCTTCTGTTTCTGTTTTTACCTCTGTTTTTATTTCTAAAGATTTCTTACCTTCCATATCTATATAAGATTGCAAATGTCCATTCATCGATGTAACTAAATCATTTTCGCTATTACTGGTTACGCTAGTGTTTCTGAATTTGATAGGACTCTCATAATGATTAACTTGAAAATTCGATGATTCATTCATATATAACTTAACGGATTTTTCGGAAGAGGTCGCTAGAGGTTCTTGCCAAAAAGTATGGAGTTTGTCAATCTTGTCACACTTAGTCACCATATCAGAACAAGGTTTTTCTAAATAGTTGACAACATCTGTTTTCAAACCATTGATTTCACAATCTTCTGTAGCATCGTTACTAGAACCTGTTTTAAAAAAACAATTCTAGATGTCAAAACAATACTTTTCTTTTTTGTTTGAAATAAGGAAGAAAATACATACTACATGGACTGTCTAAAGCGTGAAGCGAGGCAAAATAAGCCTGATTGTCAACAGTTCTTGGATTCAAATCCAAATATTCAACGCTATCCTCTAACATTTTTTCCAAATGATTGGTAAGTTCCTTAAATGACGGCCTAATGGCAGATTCTTGATGCCAACATGACATCATCAGTTTGTATCTAGAATTAAAGAAATTATTTATATAAACATACTGTTGAAAATTTTAATTATACATGCCGAATAAAAATATATTTAAAAAATTAAAATATACGGAGTATTCGTAACAATTTTCGTTAACTTGTATTTATATTCAAATAAAAAAATATAAATACGAAACAAAGATAAACATTCTGACAATCAATATTTTGACTTTATATAAATTGCTTTTTAATCTTTTTGATTTCCTTTCTTTTCATTCATACACTTTTTTTATTTTTATGATATTGGTTATTTTATCTAATCAGTCGCACTCTTGCATACGTTCGTCATTCATGTCAATTTATACAATTTCATAATTCTCGATATATACAATAAAAAGATAAAATCGTATTTTTTCATTATCAATTAACTTACAACTGTAATGAACAATTTGTCGGTCTTTCCATACGGTATCCAGCTTTGAGTAAATTGTAGAGATTGTGTACATCTACACCGGGATAAGGAGATGCACCTAAAGTGACCAATTCCCAAAGAAGAATACCAAAACTCCAAACATCTGATTTACTGGTATACACGTGATCCGCGAGAGATTCAGGTGCCATCCATTTTACCGGCACTGCAAAAACATATACGAAATAGATAAATTATATAGTGATTTTTATTAATATTCGAATGTCCATAATTTTATTATCGTGTAAAATGGCTAATTATCATATAGTTAGCAGGCAATAAATTAATTTTTAAAAATTAAAAAACAAATATGAAATAATTAAATTATATTTTCAAAATAAAACGTAAATCTTTTAATCTTTTTTTAAAGTATGGAAAATATTTGCTGAAAATATTATTTGAATTAGTGTAATTTATTAATTTTTGTTATAGAAGAATAATAATTTAAATGAATAAAATAAAGATTCAGATTTTGTATATAAAAAGTTACTTAAATTATTATATATTTAAGATAAAATTTGAATTTTTATTTATTTGTATAAATTATTGTAATAACCTTTTTTTTACGATATGGGAATATTTATTGAAAATATTATTTCGTAACATAATTTAATTTTTTATGCATTTTATTATTTTATAGAAAATGATGCTAAAAACGATGTTAATTAGAGATTAATTAAATAAAAATCTCATTGCATTACATTATTAAAAGTTATCTGAATAAAAAAATACAATTAAATAAAAAAAATTATAAAAAAAGAATTAGTGTAGATAAATAGAATAACAATTTATTATCAGAAATATCTTAATAAAAAGTTTTATATTTTAATTTTTAATTTTTTTTTTTCATTTTTTAACCATTTGTTCAGAAAAATATAATGAACAGAGATAAATAATTAATAATCAATTCTTCACAAATTTTAATGTTAAATAAATTAAAAAGTAGTGAAATTATTCAAAAATTTTCAAATTGTCATTAAATAAATTCTAACTTTACTTTTAAATAATAAGTAATAAAAGTCTAGTATTAATAATAATAAATCCGCAAAAACAAAATCTTAAGAAAATCTATAATAAATACAAATGATGAATTACTAATTTATATGTTAAATTTATGTGTTATCATACAAAGATAAAATCTTAGAGATTCCTTTGAAATAATTCAGCAAAAAAAAAAATGTATTTAAAAGTAATTGTATCATAAAAGTTTAGAAAAAAAAATCATTCAAAAAATAAAAAAATAAATTAAAAATAATATTCTAAATTAACTAATAATTTATTTCTGAAAAAAAAAATGTTGATAGTCTTGTAAAGAATCATGATAAAAAATCATAAATGAGAAGAGTTGGTAGGAAAGAATAACTTTTACCAAGGAATTTATTTATAAAATTAGATATAATAAAAAAACGTAAGATTTAATAAAATAAAATAAAATTAATTTCATTTCTTTTTGATCCGATAGATAAAAATAATAAAAAATATAGGCAAAAAGTCTCAAATTAAAACTTTAAAGTCGCATATAAAAAGAGTGATGGAAATTTAATGGTTTCGTATTTCAATTGCAAATATGGATGAGATAGTTTTTATCGATTCTAATGAAAATATTTATATCATAAATATTTTGAAATAAAGTGTTATTTAAAAATATGATTAACACATATATATAAAAATTAAAATATGTAAAATTTTATTAAGAATATGATCAAAAAATATAAATTGAAAATTATATGAAAGAATATTTATTATATTAAAGTAATGCAATCTTTTCTTCAATAATCTTTTCTTCAATACTAGACTTCAATAAGATTTAAATTTGATTAACAATTAGTTTGTTTTATAAAATAATAATCATAAACATAATAAAATTAAAATCTATATATAAAAAAAGTGGAAACACATAATATTATTTAAAAAAAATTATTTCTTAAATATCAAAACCTGAAAAAAATTAATAAAAAAAAGAATATTACACAAAATATTAATATTTTCACAATATTAATAAAAATGTATTTTTTTTTAAATTAATATATTTCTTTGATATCAGAATTTAGATATCAGATATTTTTGTAATATAAATTTTAATCATTTAGCTTATTGCTGATTATCTAAAAATATGCTATATACATTAAGTAAATAAAATATACATATTTTTATCAATTTCCTATTTTTATTATATTCTCACAATTTTTTTTAATAAATTAAAAAAAATCAACTTGTTCATAATATTTTTATACAAATATATCATATAATAAATATGTCTCGTTAACTATAGTGTCCGAATATTAATAAAAGTTATTATAGATCATTAACTAACTATAAATTCTACTTTTAAGATCGCTTGTAATAATTTGTATTGATAATTTACATTTTTTAAAAAATTTTTTTAAAAAATGTAAAAGTATAAACTATTTTTTTAATTTTTCAAAAGTTATTGCTATAATTTTTCAAAGCTATTGTTACAAAATACATTGACAAAAAATTGAATAAAAAACATTCATTGTAATGTCAAGATAATTGAAAATATAATTTTATATGATAATTTCGACCGTATTCTGCCAAAACTGTCAAGAAGCCCTATAAATTAAACTAGAAAGTTCACTTTCGATCAATATATATTCCAGATACTATCAACTATTATTTATTTTATCCTGTGTAATATAATAATAGTTGAAATATAGTATTTTTTAAAAAATCACAAATGAAATGAAAAATTGAGACGATTTATTTTTAAAAACGTTTAATGATAAATAAAATTATATTCTCTTCAGATAAAAGAATAAAGATAAATTTTCAATTTCGTTTAAATTAAATTATTTTAATTGAAAAAAATCTAATGGCATTATTTTCATAAATATTTCAAGTTTTCAAAGAATTCGCAGAATTTGGATAATAACCTAATATATTATGCATTGGATTAACGAAAGATTTAGTTGATCGAAATTACTTTCTCACAAAATCCTGGAGAATAATGGAGAAAAAAATTACAAAATTATTTTTATATTGAATGAAGATCGTAATAAGAAGGATTGATACGAAAGCCATTTCGATGAAAAAACATACCTCGTCCTTTGCTGCGCTTTAAATACGCATCATCTTCATAGACATCACGCGTTAATCCAAAATCAGAAATTTTACACACTTTCTCGGCTGCGAGTAATACATTTCTTGCTGCGAGATCTCTATGAACCAACTGTAAACTATTCAGATTAATCTCAATTTTCATTAATATATTAAAGATAGAAATTAATTTGATGCTTTTTTAAAATAATGAAAATGGTTATAATTAATGGAAACATAGATATAGATATGTTTTACTATATTAGAATATAGTTAGAAAATTTGTACTTCATTAAAATATTTATTTCATTTAAGAATATTACATTTAAAAATTGGATTTCTTACAAAGATTTTAATATATTCTGATACAGATGGCTACTTTATAGTGAGAATCATTTATTTTAGTGTAAAATTTACAATTATTACTATCCAGGGATTTTAATTAAAATTCTAAGACCAAAAAAAAAAAAGAAAAAAAGTAATATTTATGAAATTTTGTCTATGATAATAAAATTTGAAATATTTAAAAAAATATTAATTGTAATATTATTTTATTCACAATGAAATTAATTCATGCTGAATAAAAAAAAACTATAGATTTCATTAAAAATAAATGCAATCACACTTAAATGCAAGTGCACCGAAGTTTTTTAAATAAGGAAAATTTTCCTCTATACTTTTCTTTATTAAACTTATCTTTAATAAAAGAGTTTCAATTTAGTTCAGTTATTAGTTGTATAAGTATAATTAACGATTGATTAAAAAAAATGATGTAATTAAGTTTTCAATAACTTTTCAATAGATATTTAAGAATACATATTTTTATATTTTTTATATTTTTATATTTTTATATTTTTTAAATAATTTTAAAATGATCTAAATAGATAATAAAACTGATTAAATAAAGCCAGAATACAAATAAGTTTAAATAATAAATAATACTTTTTATCTCTTTGTAAGATTTACTATAAAGTCTGTGATAAGTAAATATTTTTTTTCTTTCAAATTTATCACTTCTAATGATTTTAATACAAATTAATTGATAGAGATAGTTAAGAAGATTAATCATTTGCGAAATTACTCAAGCACTTGTTAATAAAATCGATATAAAATTATTAAAATCATTAAAATCAATAAAATTTTTAAATAAAATTACTTGAAATTATTTGAAATAATTAATTTACTTACGATCATATCTAATAGAACTTTTAAAATATTAAGAATAAATTAAAAATAAAATTTAATAAAAATTTTGTATAAAATCAATTTCATATATTATATAAAATTTACCGTATTTTTTATAAAATTCCTGTAAAATCATATAAGTTATCATTATGAAATCTTTTAATCTTTTATTTTTTTTTTAAATAACCTTCTCGCATATTCTGCATAATCTGGATTAAATTATAGCAATTTGTACTATACTATATTCTCTTCATATCCCACTAAGTGGAACATTTCAAACATTTAAACTGGTATTATAAGTGGTATAAAGACACCAAATTAATTTCTACGCCTACATAATACAATATGATACGAGGTTACCTTAATGTCGGCTAGATAGGCCATTCCTTTGCTAATCTGCCAAGCGAACGAGAGGATATCGCGTGGCGTGACTGTGTAAACGGATGTTCCATTTGTTTCACCAACAGTGACGTTAGATAAAGCCGAACATCCACCAATTCTTGCCTCGGATTCCAAATGTCGATTACGCCTTAAATAATTTCTGCAAAATTTTCGTATCCCGCAATTGTAATATTCAAGGAAAATAATGCAAATGGTTCAATAAATTTACTTTCTCTAAAAAACGAATACGAAATCGATATTTTATCGAAATTTAATTACTAAATACATAAATTATTGAAATAATTTTTTTTTAAAACATGGAAAATTTTGATTGAAAGTATTACTTTGCAGTATAATAATTTTTATTCGTTTCATTATATTTAGAATGTGTTAAAAAAAAAAAATTAATCAAATAACAAATGTATCACGTTAATAAAAATTTATCTGATAAATGCGATAAAAATTTCGTTTTATATTTTTATTAATATTGCTTTCCTAAAACAAGTTATATCAAGGGATAAACTTTCGTAGTTATCGATCGTTATTTAACGAATAGAAATTAAAAATATAAATTTTAAGTTCAGAAATTTAATAATATGAAAAATTACGAATGTTTAATATAATTCAACGTTGATTATTGATAAAGATTTAATAAAAATAAAACAACTTTCAGATATTTATAAATCCAATATAAACTTAATTTTAATTTGAACAAATAAAAATTTAATTATCAATTAATATCTTGGAATACATATTAAGGAAGATTAGAAACCTGAATTATCAGTCCTGCCAAGGAATCAATATATATGCATCAAAGTAAAAAATGTACATCACACATATCATCTTTAAAAATGTATAACTTTTAATAATTTCCAAAGTTAAAACTATCTTATCTTTGGATTTTATTAGTCAAATATTTCCTATCAATAATTAAAAATACAGGAATAATTAAAAAATATTTGGTTTTTCTCTTTTCCTAAGAATTCGTTCAAAAAAAAAGTAATTAATAAATAATAATAAATTGTATTATAATAGTAAAAAAAAAAGAATAGTTGATCAACAAGTAATCAATATTTTAAACCATAAATATAAAATTGAAAATATAGTTTCAAATTCAAATTCAAAAAACTTAAATCGAGATGAAATGAGATGCATGTCGACACGATCATAACGTCGCCTGTACGTCGTTTTTCTGTCGCGACGCTGCTCCTTTTCGCGCGTTCCATGAAAACGCGAGACAGAAGAAGAATTCAATTAACGCATGTTACTCGCGCAGTTTTCTCGTGGTTATTGTCCGGGATGCCGGGGGAATTTCGTTATGCCGGAATTCCATAGTCTGTGAACGCGTAGCAACTTCTTAAGTACATACTCACCGCAACGAGCCAAACTCCGCAAATTCGATGATGAGGTAGACAGGAGCTCCGGGTGTGGTGCAAGCGCCCAGCAATCTGATCACGTTCGGATGTTGAGCCTCCTTTAGTAGCTGATATTCTGACAATAAGTCTGCCAATTCGGAGGCGCACGCGTTTTCCTTTAATGTTTTCACCGCGACCGTCGTGGGTCCTGGGATTCCCCCTATGTCGATCGCTTTGGCGCGCAACACCCGACCAAATTCTCCTTCGCCGAGTACTTGCTCGATGGTCAGTCGCGATCGTGGGAACTCCCATTTTGGATCCGGCTGAGAAAACATTTCAATAAAGAGAACTTTTTCTTATTTTTAAATAAAGATAAATGATAAATGTATATAAAATTTTCTTTGATTTTTTTTTCTTTTAATAGCATTATTACATTTGAATTATTTATTACGATTACGTGTATTATGTTTTTTCACGACAAAAGTCAATTGTCAATGATTTTCTCGTATTTACAAGATGTTGTGGAAAAATTGTAATTAAAATTGGCGAAAGGTAATAATAAATGTTAAAATGATAAAATATCTATCTTATAAAGAAATAAAAAGTAAACTTTGATCATTAATAAAAAATAATTTTTAACATGCAAAATTATTTAAAAATTTTATTTTATTAAGATAAATTATTGTAAAATATTGTTACTACTAATGGTTTCTTATCTTGGATTTTTTATGTCTGAATATTTATAATTTTTGTTATATGAAAAATCATTTTTTTTTATTATTCTTTGAAAATTTAAATAACAATTTAACGAACTAAATATTTTTTGGTATCCAAGTAGATTATTACTTCAATATACTGCAAAACATTTTTCTTGTTTCATGTTTATTTTAAGTATAAAACATAAAAATTAAAATTATAATCAATTATCCATTTAATTATACTATGTATATTGTATAATGTATAAAGTAAACGAAAAAAGATTTTCTATTTCGTTAAAATCCAAAAGAAAATATCGGAAATTGAACGTTTCACAAAATAATTCCCTCAACTTGTTAGCTATACAATTTTCTGGAAATTCGAGGTTATACTCTCATCCGTTTCCAGAATATATAATAGAATATACGATGTCGCAGCTTGTTGCCTTTGCATTACCATTTATAGAATTTTTGTGCGCCCGAAAACCTTAGAATGAACTAATCAAAGAATTTAATTAACTCTTTACTCTAATTAACTCTTATTTTCACCAGATGTAAATGTTTTACTAGGCTTTAAATTAATTTTCAGTAACTTACTTATACAGGATCTTTGATTATATTTTATCTTTTCAAAATAACTTAATACATTAGATCCAATTTTAAAAAAGTAATTTAATAAGTATCCTAATATTGTTTGGAATTATAATGGAACTCTGATTATGAATAAAATTTTATATGATTGTTGATCATATGAACTATAATAAATATTTTAATAAAGAAACCAATATCACTTAATTTTCTACATATTATTTATATGGTAGAAGACTTATCAAAACGAATTTAAAAAGTATAATGCAATACTTTTACTTATTAAGTTTACAGTAATGAAAATAATAATGCTTAAACTTGTGATTATTTATTTCATGAAATTATTAATAAACATATAATAAACATAACAATTATTATTGAATATAAAAAATTAAAAAATTTTAATTTTAAAAATATTTTAATCGATGTCCAAAATACTTATTCTGCAAAATTCTGCTCGTTTCCAAAAGTTTGAATACAATGCTGCCACTAAACATTGGATTTATAGGTTTATAAATGCTGTAATAATGCTGTCTTTTAAATCTTTAATATTATTAATTGGCGATTGTTGTACAACAGTTTGTACTTAGATATCTCTAGGGAACGATAAGTTCAAGAAATGTGTGCTATTCGTGCTAATAATGTGATTTTAGAACATGTACTATTTCCATTACTGTAAACTTTTTATATATGGTATTGTGTAAATAAAAATATTATGTATCTAATATATTTTTTAAATTTGTGTCAATGTCTCTTACAATATAATGAAAAAGAAAAAATAAATAAATAATACAATTTGAAAAATTTTGCTAAAACAAATTATTCTTGAAATTATCATTATTTGTTATTCATTCGATTTAAATTTATTATATAAAACATGTTTCTGTAAATAATTTTTTTGTTACATGAATATAAATGCTGAAAAATCTTATATTGAAACAGTTTATATATAATCTTATAATCTGTGTAATAAGCAAATTTTATTATTCTCTTTTTTAAATTTTATATTTAATAATTCAATAATATTGAATTTAATTTTATATTAAAAATTATTTTCTCTTGTGTTTTTCATCATATAGAATTTTTCAAAGCATTCTCCAATATAAAGATTTACGTTTTTTTACGATATATAAAATAATTAATTTATAATTAATAAAATTGCTGTCTAACTGCTGTTCCATTCTAAAAACAAAATTATTAAATATAAAAATTAAAAACGAAAAATTTAAATTTTTAGACTGGCTCATTTATTTTTTATAAGAATTCGAATAAAGATTCATAAATAAGATTATTAGATATATTGTAATAAATTTTTTTATTAATTAGGTTTTCATAAAACTTATATTTTCCAAAAATATCAAGTTTTCGGAATTATTAGAAAATTCAACAATGATATCGATAATTCTATTTTGAAGTCTTTATTTTATATTATAAAATTATAAATAAAATATCTACTTTTGTAATAGAAAATTTTTATTTTTATATTTTATAAATTTTATTCAAATTAAAATTTTTATTTTTAAAAATTTTTTATCCTTATTCTTATTGGAATTTGTCTCAATATAAGAAATGTTTTAAAAAAATTATACTTCATTTTAATTAATAACTATATTTTAATTTATAAATAAATCTATAAAAAAAATTTTATAACTTTTTTCTATTTTATTCTACTTTAAATATTTACATAGTTTTAATTAGATAAGATTATGTACATATATTAATTATTAATTGTATGTATGTGTATGTATACTTTTTGAGTAAAATATGCAAAACATATACAATATGCGAAATAGTAATTGCATATCAAGATATGTTTCTGAATAAAAATCTGCAATATAATTTTAGGCAATTTAAATTTGCATCAGAGGAAACAAAATACAAAGCAGAATAAGTCAGCGAAGTAATGAAATGCTAAAAATGTCACTCTATCTCCGCCTCATTTAACAGAAACTTAAATTACTAATTTATTTAACTATATCAATTTAATTAAATAAGTTTCAACTCACATTTTTAGATATTAATTTTATATATGTATTTATTTTGATCTTTAGAATTTTTATCCTTCAAAATTGTTCTACGAATTAATTAACACTCTGTATATGATTAATTCTACTGAAAGACTTTCTTGGAATTCTAACTTTCAGTGACGAATCGTTTAAAAAGTTGAAAGCAAAAATACGATCGGAATCGAAAAATACTCTGAAATGATTGACAATTGATATATGTAAAAATTATATATTAAGTTTGTAAAAATCTTTTTTTCAATGTCTTTTATTTGATATATTTTCATTAGTAGTCGAACAAATGATTAGAATTGTGGGGATGCGTTAATCGAGATTAAATCGTGAAAATGAACAAAAGAGAGAACTCACCGGAGACATTTTAGGAAGAAGAAGATGGCGATTCGCCGCAGTGAAAGTGTCCAAGCCGATAAGCAAACCATCTCCTCTGTCAACATAGTCCGAGGATAGTATGCCAACAACATTTGAATCACCATCGACTCTTCGTTTCCCCTCTCGTCGAGCTTCTTTTGCAGCCAGTCTGAAAGGGATATATTTTAAAGTTAATTTCAATTCTATTTATCTATCGGGAATAAAAAATCGAGAAGATTAAACTTCTATTTGTTATAATATTTGCTGACAGCAATAATGCAATTTTAAATTTCTTCGTATCTTTAAAACGATGAGACATTTATTCGAATGTTGGTAATCATTGAAATAGCATTTCAAAACTTTCAATAATTTTAAAACTTTTATTTCAAAATTTTTAAGTTTCGAGTTATTTCGAATATAATTATATGTTTTATTTGAAAAAATTTTTAAAATTCAATAAATTTCTTTTTCGTATAAATTATTGAAATCTTTTTTTCTTATTTTCTTTAGATATATTACAAAATAAATCTAATAATAGATTTTACATTTAGATTTCACAATATTAATATGGATTTTTATGCAGTTAAAACAAGTTAACATATTCAATTATAATATCTATGTAGAAAATATATCAAGTTATTCAAAATTCAATTTCAAAAATTACAATTTATATTATATAATTAAAAATATCAAATTCCATGAATTTTTGATAAATTGATATTACTTTAAAATAATCATTCATATAATATATTATCTAATGTATAATTTGTTCCTATTTTGAATAAATTATATAATTCAAATTATTCAGAATTTTTCCAATTTTTAATATCAGTGATATTAAACAGAAGTTTTATTTTTCGAATTCATATTATAATATTCAGTTATTTATCAATTAATATTACAATATTTAATTATCACGTGAATAAAATCAATATTACTAAATTTATTACATTTATTAAAAACAATGCAACCAAATAATTATTGAATAATTATTTAATTAATTATATTTGGATTTAGAGTATTGAATTTAATTTAAATTTAAGTTAATTTTAGATTACGTCTAATTTAATTTAATCCTAATTTAAATTAGATCAAATCTATTTGAAACATTAAATATAAATTCTACTTAACACATTTTATACATTTTATAACTCGTAACATGTAAGAAAAAATTGTTCAAAATAGGATATTGACAATTATTAATAAAAGATCATCGAAATCAATAATCCTTTTCCTTGCATAATTACTTTAAATTTCATGAATTTCATAAAATATAACTCAAGTTTAATAATATTTCTCAAATATTGATCAAATTAATTGAGACATCTTGTATACGATACAGTTTCGAAACAAATCGAGGCATTTCAAATTCCATCACTGGTTGGCAAGCTTTTCTGAAAAGATAAGTGCAAGCATACGATGAGGAAACTTTTTCAATTTCATATGCGCTGTTTCATATGCGTAAATACGCTTATACGCTCGCTCGTTTCGACAACGATAGTTGAAAGTTGTGTTATCCTACCGTAATATCAGTGCGGGGAATTACGACGATGGCTTCGACAAAAGAAACGTTTGACTGGAAAGGGCTCGATAAGCAGACCAGTTGATCGAATGTCGTTATCGAAATATGTAATACCTATCTGAGAATCGGCTTCACATTCTGGTTCCTCCTCCTTTCGGAGACCGTTTATTTAGTTGTTGATCGAACGATTCATGTAACTCGCGTACAAAGGACTCGTTCGAGAGTTATCTAGAATTTGACCAGCTGTCACGTTTTGCTTTCACGTTTTGCAAACAGTTTAATGCGAACGTTTCACCTTTAACCACGTTTCGATTCCAATTTCTTTCTTTTGTAATACTATATGGAGTATTTATAGTTTGTTGATTTTTTTATTCATCAAAATTGCATTTTATCTGTTTGATTCTTTGATACTATAAATTGTTATGTTAATTTTTAGTTATGATAATTTTATTCGATATCAAAATTTTGTAATAAATATTTTGCAATTGAAACTGCGCTTCTAAAATGATATTATTTGTGGAATACATATTATAATTAAATTACATGGACTGACGAAGCAATATATATAATTAAATCGAAATATGTAATGAAAAGTGTCGTAATGAATTATTAATTAATATTTAAATATACTTGTTATCATTTAATTTAATTATATATGTATAATTAAAAAATTAAAAAAATATATAATTCAAATATATTTAAAAAATATATATCTCTGTATTGAGTTTTATATAAAATTTTCTTCAATCAAATCTCTTTTTAAATTTATATTAATTCAGTATATATTCTACTCTGTTTCCTAGTTTGACGATGATATTTACCTGTATCTCGATGTGACGAAAGAACCAATGATCACTATCAACACAAAGAAACTGCCTCCGATCACGCCTATCATACAAATTGGTCCACATGGTCCGTGAGACGCTGCATAAAAAAAATGAAATAAGGTTTTAATTCACCTGAAAATTTCAAGCAGAAATCCATCAACATAAGAGTGGAATAAACATTGAAACAAAATTCTTTTATTCATGTTTTCTAATAGTATAGAATAAAAATTGCTTTCTATAGTAATATTTAAATTATTAAAAATTGAATTTGATCAAAAAATTTTAATAAATTTTGGTTGCAAACTGTTTAAAAAATATTATTTTTATTGTACTATAAATTTTGATATCATTGTTCAGTAATTTACAATAATTTAATTTTTGTGTTAAGCGAATTATATTTTACCATTTAAATAGTTTTATAATAATTTTAGATGAAAAAATTTGAATTAAATTTGGAATATATTAAAAAAAATGATTAGGTTGCAAACAAATTTCTAATTTGTTTATTATGAAAATTGTTGTATATATATTATTATAAAAAATTATTATATTTATATATAACAAAATTATATATAAAATTTATTGTATAATTAATTATAAAAAAAATATTTTACTTGATGATATAATACAAATAAGAAAATTTAAAAAAAATTAAAGCTTTTCCACATTAAAAAAAATCTGAAAAATTTTTATAAATAATTATAAATAAAATATTTGTTTCATTCCACCTCATCAAAACCTACGAACCTTTTCGAGCACCGGTCACAACAATTTCATCTTCTTGATTTTGCGATTTCCCCTCCTTCTCTTCTTTTGATTCCTTTCTCTCTTTATTACCCTTCTCAGTATCTTTTATACGAAAACGATCCACGTTGCAAGTGCATTGCAACACATCGTTGCACGCGCAAGTTCCTAAACCACTTTTGATTCCACGTCCGTTTTTGTTCATATCAGCGAAGTGCACATCCGCTAAAACGTCAAAATTTTAACCGCTGTTATTTCGCTCGAAAACTCTTTTTTTTTTTTTGGCAGTTTATGCGTCCCCCCTTTAATAGCTACACAATTATTCTCAATTCTCCAAATGTTATCTGTGATTTGAAATCGTCGATATTCCAATATATATTATAAATGAGTCATTAAAATATGAAAAATAATATTTTCACTTAATTTATCATCATATTTAATGTTTCTCACATTCGTCTATAATATAATTAAGAAACGAGCAAATCGAAGAGAAATAGATAAAAATTCGCTATTCGTAAAAAAATATTTTTCTTTCTTCTAATAATAAATACAGTAAATACATAGTATATTTTTGAAAGAAATTTTAGATATCTGGATAATAAATATGCAAAAAATATTTGAGGTCTATTTCTTAAATTTATAAAGGATTTAATTTTATATTAGATGAAACAAGATATAAGATCAGTTAAGCGAATAATAATATATGTATGCTATACAATACAGTGTCGTTTATCTAGTCTAATCTTTCAACATAAAGTTCAAAGACGATATATTCACGCTATTTTAAGGTGCATGATTAATTATCTTAGAATGCATATTAACGTAATATAAATTATATACTTAAAAGTATATTTGATTGTAAAAAAAGAAAATTTATAAATGTAAATTATTATCAATTTACCACATTATGTAAATTATAATGTATATTATATTATTTATATTCATCATATAAGAAGCTATCATTTTTAAAACATTATAAATTTAGTTTTTGATATGATTTATTATTACTTTTAAACATAATTTGATTTCATTAATATTAAGTATAATAGGAAAGTCTTATTCTTCAGCGATTTTTTTTTTAATAGTGATATACAGAATAGATGAATAAAAGATATTAAATATTGTAATTAACCATATCATTGAGATCGTTAATCACGTTTTAAAATAAAAAAAAAATTGTAATATTTGTTCTATAAAACAGGCTTATAACAGCGAGATAAGCACTAAACATGCAAGATATCATGACAAAGAAACATTTATCCTCAATGGAGTTAAATTATAATATTGAGAAACATCTAAATGATCAAAAATGAAATTTAGAAGGATTGTGATTAAGTTCAATGAACATTATCTTCGTTAAACAATATTTTTTAAATTAAAAATAAGATAATAAATTATTCAATGATGTCCAAAGCAAAATTGCAATTTTATATATCTTTTTATATAAAAGATTAACTAACTAAGATTAATTAAAAATATTATAATAAAAAACGTATGTTATAAATAATATTCGCAAAAACAAATCAAAAATATCTAATATTATATATAAAGAAAATTTTTTTTTTAAATGTTGATTAGATTTGAATTTCAGAAATCATGATTTCAATTATTATTTCATCCGCTATGGTATATCATTTTTTATAATTTTAAATGAATTATCGTACGATTTATTTTGAAATTATCGTATAATTAATGTATCCCGTTTCAGATAAACTTTTGCTCGTAAATTATATGAATTTTTATCTTTAATATTTCACGATAAAAAAAAGTTTAATTCTAATAACGACATATCCTTTCATATTATATTACATTCCATGATAATTAATCGTGCATTTAAATTGATACGAATATTTTGTCTTTAAATTTTCATTAACCCGACCGCAAGTGACACTGCAATATGGTGTTGCACCGTTTGCCTGCCTTTCTAGCGCAAATGTAAATCACTTATAACTACCTTTCAAAGATAATGAATATGTTAACACTCTATATGTATAAGATATTATATTTCTATGTTTTCTAATCTTTTTTATGTTACAACAGTTTAATTTAATAGATGATAATAATTAATTTATCTTTTTGTTTTAGAATTAAGTTAAAAATTAAATTTAATAAAAATATATTTTGTTAAAGATGACAAAATAAATATATAATATTTTATTTTTAGAAATTCGTTATATGCGATTCGGAGGAAATTAAAAAAATAAGAAAAATATTAAAAATCTATCGTATCAAATATAAAATATATAATATATATTTAATATATGTTATTAAAAATATTTAATATTATTTAAAATTTGTCTTATATTTATCACTTCTATTTATTATATTCCCATGTGGTTATATTAATCCTTATCCGATATCAACGCTTTGCACAATAATTTAGATGGTCGTCGTTTTACTTGAAATTTATGACATTTATTACATTATTAATTGTTAATATTATATTATATTATATTAAATTTATTTATTATTAATTACATTTATATACAATTATAGATATTTGTCCACAATTAAAGTCATAAAATTTTACTGCGAAAAAAAATAGTGCAATAATTTATTTATTTCATTTTAAAGGATAAGAAGTTTATTTTTTTTTTTATCCCTATATTAAATTTCTTTAATATTTTCTTTTTTGTATTTTGAAAAAAAAATAAAATAATGATCTTTTCTGAAACTTTTTAAAATTCAAATAATTTTATGAATCTTAGGAAATTTTTATTGCGATTTATTTTAAAAAGAAGTTATTAAAAAGAAACAAGTTATTAAAAAAAAAAAGTTTTATAGAAATGTGATAAAATAAAAAGCAAAAGAAAAAAAAATATAATTTTTAAAGGAAATAAATCACAATAACAATTTTTTGAGATAAAATTATCTCAATTTTTGCAAACTTTATTATATTAAAGAAAAACAGAAAAAATTATTATCACTTTATTCTCCATCTTCAACTCAAAAATTAAAGTACAAAATTAAGAAAATTTAATATAGAGATAAGAAAATAAATGTTTATTTTTTAAAAAGATTTTTTTTTTCATAAAGAACAATTTCAAAATTGGTAATTTTTTATTAAAATGTAATAATTTTCTAATGGATTTATATAATATCTAGAATCGTATAACAATTCTAAAACGATTTATGCTAAAACAAACAGAATATTTGGTATATAAAAATATTAATTGAAACTTATTTATTAAATTATAAACAATTTAATAATGATGTAACGAAAACAAACATTTTATTTTATTTTGATAAAAATAACTTGTTTCTTAGTTATTTTATTATTGTTTCTTATTGATATTATTACTATTATCATTATTATTATATTTATCTATCATTCAATACATATTTTGAAAATTACTTAAAGAACAAATTTACAATTAAGAATTAAATGTTATTTCCTTGAATATAATCAATATTTCAACTTATTACCTTCAATATTACTCTTACTTCGAATTTTTTTCATTAATCGGATAAAGAATATCAATTGAAATACATTACAGGTCAAATGACAATTACAATTAAATTATTCTTTAAAAATAAATTCTGCATCAGAAACAACACTATTTAGTCAACGAAAACAATTGTTTCGATTTTCTTATCGATAACTTAAAAAGTAATTAAAAAAATTAAGAATTCACAATATTAATCAAATATAAAAATTGAAAACTTACGTTCGACCGTGCAATCCTGCGGGCAAATCCGAGGATCCAATTGTTCGAGCTCGTCGCACGTATTGTCGGGGCAATACGACAAATCCGGGGAGCAGGTAGGATAATGATCGGACATCATGGAAACTTGATTCGACCGTTTGTTCCATCTCCACATGCATTGGCCGGAAAAGTTGCCTCTGCTGAAAAGCGGATCGATGTGATACTCGAAGAAATACCTATAGAGCCATGTTTCGTTCAAAACGATTCGAAAATGAAGACGAAAATAACGCTCTTTCCAAATGGATTTCGTTGGCGTTGACGTGAAAGGAAGGAAGGAAAACGTTGCCACCTATAAAATCCACTGGCGACCCCGCAGCTGGATTCGCAGTCCTCAGGCGTTTCCGCATTGGCGCAGGAATGCGATCGAGTGATTTTGTTGTGGTTTGTGCCGCACGTGTCCATTTTCGACGTTGTCAAGTTGATTCTTATAGTCTTCGAGGAACCGCGATCTTTTCCGTTCCATTTCACTTTAAGCCTGAAATATGGATCAAATTCTTCGATCTTCTCATTGCGCAATTCATTAATCATTTATAAGGGAGATCGTGAATTTTTTAGTTTTTTTTAGATTTTTAATAAATGTAATTTTATACATTCGATTATACGGTAAATAATTAAACGATCTAATTAATGTTATTTTAATGTTTTCCTTCTATTTTCTCAGTGTTAATCAACTAACTCTATAATCGGGCTTAATTGATTATTATAAGTATAATGAATTAAAAAAATGTTTTATAAAAAAATTTGAATATAAAATTTAGATTATAAGAAAACATATAAGAAATTTATTAGTCAGTTCCAATTCATTTTTAGTGTTTTTCATGATCTTAAATAACTTACGTATAACTTTAAAAAATTCATTTAATATTTACACTAATGTAATTATACTGAAAACATAAAATATTTATTTATATAGTCAATTTTTCGGTAATAATTTTCCAACTATGTTTCATATTTTCCAAATATGTACAGTATATATGGATACAATATTACATTATTTTAGTAACAATTAATTAACTTATGCTTAATCAATCAGCCCCTAATTTAATTTTATCACAATTTCTGTTCATCATTCACGCCATGATGGATACACTTATAAGATAAATTCCAAAAGTTTTTTGCAAATATTTCGAGAACTAAGGCCAATAACATTTATAGGGAAAAGTTGTTCAGAATAACAACCTTGATAATATATTTCAAAATTATTGAAATGAACGGTATCCTTTTATAATTAACACAATTTATATACGAAGAGATTCTATAACTTACGGTAAACTAGATGGTTCTGTTTTCAGCAGATCTTCGTCGGCAACATAGACTATACCTCCTCTGTACGTGACAGCGAATGCGCTCGATCCGTGAACGTTAAATGTTATCGAGGGATGCGGCTCGCTAGTCGGTTTGGTGACTCGGGTGTAACGAGATGCGATTCGAGCAACCTTCACATTCGAGGGATAGGAGAACGATTGCTGTTTGCTCGATGGTATTGGCGATAAGGTTGTCGTGGTTGTCCGATGTTCCGGTCCGTAGAAAGTTAGGGTGATGTTTAACTATTGAAACGGAACGCCGATCGTTAAACGAAAGATTTTTATAAAACGCGTTCAAGATATTGATATAAAAAAAATTTGTTATACACTATTTATAGAGAATATTTGTATTTTGGATATTGGATTTGTAAGAATATAGATATAAATTAATTGAAATATTAATTGTTTAATCTTATGTCATTAATAACTTTGTCCTAAATATTGTGAAACTCTTGTATAATTTATTAATAAGAAAATGGATTTATTAGTATCTAAGATAAAATGGAATGCTTGGTTTTAAATTGTACTGAAAAAAAAAAAAATGGATTAAATGGATTTTTGACTATAAGAAAATAAGATTTAGTATTAGCTATGAAGGAAAATACGATTTTTTGAAGATATTGAAATATTATTTTCATCAAAACAATAGATAAAACGTTTAAAATCTCGTTTAAAATCATTAAAAATTATATAATTCTTATTTTTTTAAAACTGTTATTTTATATAAAATAATTATCAAGATGAATAATAAATATAATGATGCATAATTAAAAATATAAAAAAGAAAATATTAGAATTGAAAGAAACTTAGATATAAACATACAAATTTTTTAGTTTTTGAATGAACAAAAATTATAAATAAATATATTATTTTCTTTTTATTAAAAAATGTTAACTATTATTCTAATAATAAAAATAATTTTGAAAATGAACAATTAGCATATGATAATTATTATGTTATTTATTATAATTTAAACTAAATTTGTTCAAATAAATGATTGTGGATAAAAAATTACAATCAATTAATTGCAATATTAAATAATTATAATAAATTAACATAATATCTGAAATTAATTTTTATAAAAATCAGAATAGTGATCATTATTCTGTCTAATGATTTTAATGTTGATTTTTTATTTTATGTATTAGTATTTTATTTTATATTAAAATATTCTACTTTGCATTACGACCATATGATTTTTTTGCTTTGTTCTGTATTAAGAAATATTTTTAAAAAAATTTTATATTCAGTCAGTTTGAGATAAAAAATTGGAAAAAATGTTAAAATATAGTATAAGAAGCTTATTTATCATAATGGTTCTTTAATACTTAGATTATTACATCATCACTGTATCAAAACTTTTATACATAAAAACTTTTTTTTTACACAATTTTGCGAGCTTGTAAAAAAAGTCTTCACTATAATCAATTACAAAATGCTTCAATGCTTCAATAAGTTTTAAGTTCATATCATGCGCATTTTTTATTTAATAGAAACATTAATGCTTTATTTTATTTGTTTCTTCATTTATTTTCTTTTCTTATTTTCCTTTAAAAATAATAAATTATTTTTATATTTTTTAATATGTTTGAATATGTTTTTAACATATTTAAAAACAATACATATTAATTAAGAATAATGTAGTTTAAATTTCGAAAATAAAATCGAAAATTTTTTTTGATAAGTAAATTTTATCGTTCATATTTATTTCAAAAATATGGAAAATATTTTTTTAAGCAATAGCTGTATTTATATTTTTTTTAAATTCATTTTATGATATTATATCATATTATGATATTCATATTGTAAATTATTTTATTAATTGCTATAACTGTTTAATCTACATTGATTTTTAAGTTATTAAATTAAGAAAGAATATTTTGTGAGTATATATAGAATATTATTCTCATAAAATTATTTTAAAAAATATTATAGACTATTTAAAATTGTTTATCTTAAAAAAATCGAAAATCTATATAATCTTTTATTTATATTAATAATATTAATAGGCTTTAATTATATAATCGTATTGCGTTTAAATTTATTATTGTACATATTATTATTTTAAATAATAATATTGATATTTTAAATGTACAATTATGGATAATTATAATTTAAATTATATTTATAAAATAAATGAATATATAATGAAAAATAAATAAAGTTTTACAAGTATAATATGTAAGATAATAAAATAAAACTGCAAAAATTATAAAATAGAAATCTATAATTTACTGAATTTTTCGCTATAAATAATCTCGAGTGTTTGCGAACAGTCAGGATAATTTACGATCACTTGGCTACTATCTAAGTTTTACAGGACATTATCATCTGCATGACATCAAGTACTTCAATAGTATTTTAATATTTTCCATTTAGTTCCATAATTCCATATTTTCCATAACTAAAAAAATGAATAAATTTTGTCAATAATATTCCATTATATCCATTCGCAATTATGTTTCTTTAATTATAGTCTGAAAACTTCATTACTACAAGAAAATTGAACTTATGAAAATTCGAATATCGAAATTCAAAAAAAAAAAACATATAATGTTCATTTCAATTATTAATTGAATCATAGTTCCATTAAACTAAATTTTGGCACTGTGACGAAATGAGTTTTTATTCGATTTTTAATTAAATGAGAGCACGTAGGTAAAAAGCAAAGCGTTCTAATCTTTCATGCGAAAGAACATAAATGAACTTTATGACCCCATGAAATTGTTCGTAAATTATGCTCAGTTTTATAGGGTTAAGCGATACAGCACTATTCGTTGTAAAATAAAAGTATTAACCTATTTTTAAAAAAAAGAAGATATTAATCAATTTTTTAAAACTTATAAATATGTGTGAAATAAAGAACATGTAAAATAGTATTTATTTAATTTTTTTTTAGCTTTTTATACAATAAATTTTACAATAATATTTAAGTTATAGTAACAATTATTAGAAACAAAACATAACAGTTTGGATAATCGACTTAAGATCAGCTATTCTTGATATCTAGCATCTAACCTAACCTATATCTCGATAATCGATTGAATAATCAAATAACTATATTTTTTTTATTAAAGAAAGCCATTTGTTATGAAACATAACAACGAACAAGTTAAAATTTAATAATTTCAACACAATTTATAATTTCTTGTTTGTTCTATCTTGTATTATAAATATAATTGACTTGCCAATTCTATATATATATTTTTATATTACAATTTATATACTTATAATTTCACATTTTTTGTAATGTGTAATGATAAAACATTATGCTTTCATTTTAACATTATGCTGACATTTTGATATATGTAAGCAGTACGAATGTCACTAATAAAGAATATAGACAAGACATCGTATAAACGATGAATAAATGATCAGAGAAAGTGAGAGAGAGAGAGAGAGAGAGAGAGAGAAAGAAAAAACAGCTAAAATGAAAATACTATAATTCTTAAGACGAGATTCTTTTTAATTTTTATAATTAGACACATATGTAAATAGATGTTCTAATAATTAAACATTTAATCAAATAATAATCAAATTTTAATAATCAAATTTTTTAAATAAGAAACTTACCGTAAAATATCTTTTAAATTAATAATTTTTATCGAAAACACGTTCGTATATTTTTTATAAAGAATCATTGATTAATACATTAAAAAATATACTAGTTTTCAATGAATTTTATCTTATAGAAATTCACTTAATCAAAATTTGATTTCAATAAAAAATATTGATTTTATGAAAATTTGTGTATACATTATAATAAATTAGAATTTCTTTGTCTTTGAAAAATTAATGAAATCTTTAAAATTTATAGTATCTTTTCATCTCATAGCAAAAAGTTAGACGAAAATTTTATATTATTTAATAAACTCTATTGTTGTAGATATTCGGTTTTTTTTATTTCGATTTAATTTTGCATTTGTAAGTGCATTTTTTAAATAGAACTTTTGGGATTATTTTTTGTACACTAATTCCTCTTAATTTTTTTTATTCATTATTCTGAGAAAGTATTAAAATTAAAAAACAATATTTTCGATATTTATATGCAACATTTTACGAATATCTATTTTTGTATTTTTTATTACATTGTTCATTCAATCAATATTCATAAATTTATATTATTTAAATAAAATATGCAACTTACAATTATACTTATATGTATTTATATAAAAAATCATACGATAGAATTTATTGAACAATGCAAATTTTCCTCTACAAGTTTTTCTATCTTCTCATCCTATGTAAAATCCTTTACACAATATTACACAATATTTAAAAAAAATTCCCTAAAAATCATATATTTTTTTCCGTCAATTAGATATATAACTTAAACATTTTGCACGTACTAAAACATGTTGATACTGCTAATGCAATCACGACTCATTAAACAATTAAATGACGAAGGCAATGAGAGTGTTAGCTGGGCGCGGTTTCGAGAAGCCAGTTTAAGTGAAAATTAATGGGAATCGTTCCGCATCGGGAAATTGCACGGCAGTCGTCGCGTGGGCGTACGAGGCTAGCTATTATCTTCGAACTGAACTTCCGATTTCTACGTTTTAATAGCATATAGCATAAACGCCCATCGAAAATTCGTTGAAACGGACGTCATCTGTTCATCCCTTCTTCCTCCATGAACTATACATTTTTCATTCGACGACACGACACTCGCGTTCGCGAAACAAACTTCTGTCCCGTTTGATCTATATAATAATAAAATACGAGGCATAAATCGAGCAAGATAGAATATTTTCTCGCGTTTTATTTATTGGAATCGTGACTCTTTGAATTCAATAAAAAAGAGAATATATGTGACAGGGAGAATAAATTTGTAAAAAATAATAATCAGTAGACTGCAAATTTTTGTGCAGATATATATTTTTCATTTTATGGATGGATTTTGTATATTTTATATAAACGATATAAAATATGTTATATATTCTTTTTCTGTGTGTTATTTTTATTTATGTACGATTGTTAAATGTGTATTGATTGTTATAATTTTTCTTAGATTAGAAATCATGATTATGATATAATATTGAAAATTGTGAAAATTCTGAATGATATATTTAAAAATTGTCAAAAAAATATCCATTATGATATTGAAACAAATTTATACAATATTTTATGTGTGTAGAAGAGGATTTTTTAGTTTAGAAAATTAATTTTTTAGATAATAATAAACAATATCAATTATTGTTTCGTTCAAATGGAAATGATGAAATATAGATTGGAGTAATAAAAGAATATTTTTATAAAAATTATCTAAAATATAAAGAAATATATTATATAGTATGAATAAATTTTTTGAAAATCGAAAAGATCATATGAATATCAATTTTAATTTTTCAAATGGAATCATTGAATTTTTAATGCATTAATCGATATAGAAATTATCTCCTGCGAGCGATTCATATCGAAAAATTTCAATTTTAGAAAATATTGCTTATCTTTGCAAAAAAGCTTTTAATATCAGTACTTAAAAAAAATTCCTAAAAAATGATAGCTATATTTTTTTCGTTTATTGAAAGTATATAATCTCTTAAAATGTCTCAATTTTTTATTATAGATACGTTCCACGTGAATAATAAATGGAAGATTGAGAATTATAGTGGTGTAAATTCAATCGATAAAATCGAAATGAAATTATGCTGTAATTCATATTATTTTAAGAAATTTTAAGTTAGTTGATATAAATTATTTTGTTTAAGATATAATATTATAATATTCTAGTTACAAATTAAACCAATCTAATATACTTTTTTGAATTTTTAATTTCACTTATAATTTAATTTAATAAATATGAATTTCTCAAAATAATTTCCATATGATATATATTGCTTAGATGTGACACTTAAGCAAATATTATTTTTATAAATATATTGAAATTAACCAATTTAATTCAAATTTTTCTTAAAGGACTTCGTATCAATAAGATTGATTTAAATGAGATTTTTTAAATAAATAAATAAAAAATAAATATTTTTATTTCTTGGAGTGATACAGGATTTTTACAAATAAATTTTTCTTTAATTAATATTTCAAATATATTATATTTTAATAGATACCAATTCATATTCATATTAAAATAAATAAATATTCTATTAAAATAAGAAAATAGAATTTCAAAGATAGTAATAGTATTTCAAAGAGACAGTTTCTAATTTTAGTAACATTTTTACGATTTAATGTATCAAAGTTATATTATTATATGTAATATATAATAAAATTGGTTTATATATATAAACTAAATATAAAATTTTTAATTTTTGTATTAAAATTTTATTTTCGATAATATTTGACAAATAATATAATATAATAATATAAATAATAATAAGTATTATCTATAATTTAAATATTGAATTAAATATTTTCAAAATATAAAAAAAATTAATTGATCGAAATTACAAAGAAAATAATAAAAATTGCTTTTTATAACTTTTTCATTTAAGCCTGTTTGAGATATAAAAATTTGTCTATAGATTTTAAAAAGTAATCGAATAATTTCTGCCAAAGATTATAATAATATAAATATGTCGATGCTACCTGATAAATTTGGTGTTGATCAGACATTGTACTGTTAGATAAGAGTACGCTTTTAAAGTTCTGCTTTTTTTTAAATATTTATAAAATATTAAAATATTCAGATTTGCGATAACTATCATAATATTACAAATTAAAAAATATTCATCAATGATTGATAAAAGAAATATCGATAAAAATTTATTTTTCGAAAAAATTTACCATCAAATTTTTATTAAAAAAAATTTTCTTTTTTCAAAAGCGTTTTTACAATAAAGAAGAAAGAAAATATGTGATCAATTTCAAGTTTTATATTTCATAACATTTATGTCATGTTATATTTATACAAAAAGTATAGCAGGAAAATTTTTTCTTTTTTATTCATGAATTTTAATAACAAATAAAAGTTGCTTTCTACACTACTTTTTTTTTTATTATGCTTTTTATTTAAGAAATATTAGAAATTGAATTTTTGATCAAAAATTTTTTAAGATGCTATAAATCGTTTAAAAATTATTAGTTTTATTGACTTTATAAGTTTTTGTTCAGTAATTTACAATAATTAAATTTTCAACAAATTATGTAGTTTACTATGTAAAGATAATTTTCGATGAAGAAATTTGACTTAGAAATTTGGAATAGATTAAAGAAAATTATTATTTCACAAAAATTAATTTGCTTATACTATAAATTATGAACATCATTTTATATATTCATTTTGAAAAAAATATCAATAAATTTATAATACAAGTTTATGAAAGATATATTATAATTATTACTATAAAGATAGGATTTAAAAAGTTAAAAAATGTGTTTAAAAATACGTTCAAAAAACGGAAAAAAATAAAAATTTTAAAATCTTATTTTAATCAAAATCAAAATTACTTATAACTGAAAAGTTAAATCTTTGACAAAAGATAAAGATAAAATTGGACGAATTAAAGGCTTCATTGAAAATTATGTTTCAAATATGTTTTAAAAATTGGGAAAAATACTGATATGTTATTATATGTTATTATTATGTATGTATGCAATAAAAACTATATTAAAGAAAATCATATTAATATTAATAAATAAATAATTATGTTTCGAAATAAATATAAATTCCAAAAATTTATTGATCAATTTTTTGATTAAACGTCGTACTTCTTTGACACTATATATCTTCCACATGTACAACAGGAAATATGAGGAAATCGAAAAGTGCGATTTCTTTTCCGGAAATTTAAGATAGCTATATTTTTAATCAATGCATTATTTCAATAAAAAATAACTTAAGTTAATTAAAATGATATTTTTAATATGAAAAATACAAAAAATATTTAAAAATACACAATATGATATCTCGAGGCAAGTTATTTATAATGATTGTGAAAAAAAGATGATTGGAAAATAAATTAAGAAAAAAAAAATAATACAATTTTTCAAATATTAATAAAATGAAGTTTTAAAATATAATGGAAAGATATGAATAAAAAATTAAGATAATAAATTTAAAAAGAAAAAATTAAAAATTTGGAAATTCTTTCTGAAAAAAAATGGTATTTTTAATTTCGATTCTTTAAATGTGACACACATTTTAAATTCCTAATTTATTTCAATATAATTTATCTATGAAAAAATTTGTACATCATGATAATTTTTCGCAGATTTTTGTGAAAATTGAAATCTCACCGTGTTTTCCCCGTACCCTGGAATGAGAGATTCGTCCTTTACTTGAAGAATAACCCGATAAGGAGACTTCGGTAAGAGAGTGGTTTTTGCGGAAATTCCTGTAACAGGCGAGAACCAATATCTTGGATATTAGTTGGAAAATTGGTTCACGTCGAGAGATTTTATTATTGCATGTGAGAGAAGGGAAGAAAGGATGAGAGAAAGATAAAATTGGAACTTACTTGTAAATATGGCGGTATAAGGTACTCCTTTCGAAGCTTCGATTGGCAATGTGTTGTAAGTGAAGTTCAAAGCATCATTAGTATCACCGAGAATGCGAATAGTATATCTATTACTGCTTTCCGTGTCCGCGTCCTTTAGTATTAGTTTGTTGTCGTCTACTAATTTATCACCCTGCCAATATAGTTGATGAATGAATAGTTTAGTAAACTGTAGCATATATATATATATATGTTAACCGCATTGAATTGTACGACGAATTAATGATCAATCTCAAATACACATTCTATATATATACGTGAATATTTATGATAATTAAGAAATAACTTCACTGATTCCGATGAAATTGAAATATATTAACAAAGACAATATTTTGAACAATTTCTGTATACATATACTGCATTCGAGAATATTCGTAAAAATATTTTCAATGTTATATAATATATTCATATATCACTCATCTTTTGCAAAAAACAAAATATTTAAATATTTTGTTCTTTCTTCGTATATAATAAATGTTGAATAATATGATACTTGAATTACATGAAAATTTATCAGTGAAAAATTGCAAACTTTGAATAATAACGAATTGTACGATTTTAAAAATTTTTTTTTAATAATTCTAAAAAGAATTATTTTTTGCATTTGATTTTATACTTTTACGTTTCTTACTGTCATAAAAGTTTTTATGAATTATATTATATTAGAATTATATCATGTAAAATTACATTTAAAAAAAAAGTTTACTGTTGTATACTGATTTCGATATGATAAGATCTTTAGCAAGAAATTGTTAACAATGTACAAATTAAAAAATTATCAGAAAAAACAAAATGAAATTTGTTTAATTATTTTCAATACAATCATCACATTTATATGATTCATTACATGAATAATAAGGCATATATAATATATAATATATATAGCAGAAAATCAATTAACTATATTTAGTTGAAAATTACTTGTATATCAAAATTAAAATTAATGAAATCGTTTAATATTAAAGAATAAATTCATTATATCGTTTTATTCATGATTAAATAAGAATAAATTTATATTATTAGAATATTCTTGCAAGTTATTTACATTTCAAGAGTTTTAAATCAAAAAAATAATACAAAGTTTTAAAATTTAATTTCGAGATTTCTAATGATTCATTCCTAAAAAGTACCTTTTTTGAAAAATTAGAAATTATAATCAAATATAAGTTTTCATACATTTTATGAGTTCAACAATAATTTATATGAAATGTTTTAAATAATGTTTTATATGAAACATTATTATTATATAGACTATTATATATATTTTTTTATATGAAATTTTTCTATCGAAAAATAAATTGTTTTATACATAAACTATAAATATAAATATAATATATTATATTCTACATACACAAATTTTTATTAAAATCAGATTTGTCAAGATAGGCAAATTTTATAAAATAACATATGAAAACTGATTGTAAATAATCGACTTCAGTTTTCAAAATCAATTTCCATTATTTAAAATAAGAAATAATGGGAATGCTAATGGATTTCTATTATCAAAACTTCCAGATCTTGAACTGCCTTGTTCTCTAATTTGTCCGATCGAATCGCGAGAATCGAAGTTTCGCGCATTCACGATTGCAGTGCGCGAGACATGAATATACAGGGTGTTTCATTTAATTGGATACGCTCAAATATTTCACGAGGGATTAAAGTTAGGAAAAAATGTTTTAATAAAAGCTAATTAACTATATTACGTAAAAACAATTTTTTTGCAGATTGAATAATATTTAGAGATTTTAATTTTATTTTTTTAAATGAAATCATATAATTTTGAATCTATTTATTTGTTATTTTTGCTATAAAATATATTAATTTATTCATCTCAAGAAATTATTGATTTATAAAATATTTCATTTTAAACTGCAGTTTCATATTAGAAAGATAATTTTTTGTGATTATTTGTATAAAATATACTTACATAATCTTTACTGATAGATATATTAATGAAAATTATTCATACATTTTATACGAATATACGAATTCAATTTGTAAGTTATATAAAATCAACAATAATTTTGTTTTTTTTGAACCATTGTGTTAACACAAAATGATAAAATTGAAAATTGAATTTGAAAATTGATTTCATTAAAAGAGATTTTTCGTTAAAAATAAATTGTTTTACAAAATATATTTTATCAAATTTTTCAAAATATATAAATTTCCTTGTAAAGTATGAATAACTAATAATTTTATAATTAATAATACTTCTTAGATGCGTATATTATATGTATTTCGCATTATGTTTTATTTAATTTGAAACGATAGCAATAAAACAAATATGTATCTTTTATTTCTAGCAGAAATAGAAAATTTTTTTATTGAGTTAATCATTACGACGATTTTTTCAGTCTTTGAATTTTTATTATATTTCTTAAATGATTTTTTTGAGAAGAAATTTAAAGTTTAAATATAGGAGATATGGCACGAAAAGAATTTTTTATTTTGAATAAAATATAAAAAAAATCTATAAAATCATTCTATTTCTAATTGGTAATATTATTTATTAATAAAAAGATCAATCTGGTTATAATTGTGATGCTATTAAAAAATTTTCTTTTTATTTATTATTAATCTTTTTCTATTTACATTTTTTTTCATTTTTTAAAAATATAAATATACTAATAATTGTATGCAGAAAATGGAGAAAATTAGAAAACAAATTTTGTTTTTTTTATATTTTATTTAGATTTAGATAGAAGAATATTGTTCTTAGATGATTTGCAGTAATTACTCAAATAAAATCTATTTCATTGCAATTGCATCATTTAACTCATTGATACTTTTTCAACTGAAGAATTCTCACAATTCTTACTGCATTTTTAAATTTTTGTTTATCGATTGTCTGAGTATTTGCATAAGTTTGAAAATTAACGAAGTTATCGCTATGGTTAACAGTTAAGTAAACATAGTCTGAGTTCGAGATATCTTAACCTAAATCCAAAGTTTCTGCACAAAAATATTTATAACATTGGATTCTTCTTTTCATACCTAAATATAAAATACATAGAATATATAAGACACTGCATTATAAAATCCATTATCTTGCATAAAATGAAACCGCAAAATTATATATTTTTTTTAGAAAATGTTATATATACATGCAATAAAACAAACTAGTTTCAATATCAAAACATAAATAATATGATATTATCTCATGATATCGCGTTATCAATGAACATAATATCTTTTATTTATTTAATCGCGTACAATCGTATTGTACAACAATAATACTGTACGATTATTGATTATTGTGACAAATAATATGATAATAGTCAAAATATTAATAAAAATTATAATACGATATTCTATTATATAATATAACATCAAAATATGAAATACTCCTTAAACGCTATATATACTGTTCGTTTATAATGAACAATTTGCCCCATTAATATCTCTATTTCTCTAATTGTTCGAAACAATATCATATCTATAATCAAATCTCCTAACGAAGGAAATAAACAAACATATCGAATGCGACTGGAACAGAAGGACGCGGCAACGATGACATCAAAGCATCGGTTAAACTCGTCCAAGCAGAGCGTTAAACTATTGACAAAGTGTATCTTTATGTTTACGAGAATCTTATTATATAAACACGCTGGCGCGCTCAAGCGAAGCAAACGGAGATCCCCCATTTCCCCTCCACTATCTCGTTTCCCATCTTCTCGCATAACAAATAATACGCATATGTATACACTCTATACATATGATTCATTCTATACAAGATATTATTATTCTTCCTTCTTTCTATACCATTCTTACAAAATCGATCATCTTGCACAAAACGAAAGTCCATTTCTTTTTTTTTTTAACTTAAGTCCCTCGTGAGATATTCGAGCGCATCCAGTTAAACGAGACACCCTGTAGAAGAATGTTGGGGAAAGTGGAAATGTATGATAGGCGGCGAAAGTAAAAAAGAGATCCGAGCTTAATCAAGATGAGCCCCTGAAGGCTTTTCCTTCGTCCATCCTGTTCTTCGGAATGGTGCCCGTCGTGTTCGTCGTTTCCGCATCTTTTCACGGCAGCCGTTAGAACAATGCCTCGCGATCGTGGGAACAATGCGCCACTGATTAAGTCCGATTCTTTAAGCTTTCGTTCATGGATGGGAGAGATTCGCTCAGACTAACGCCTCAGTTAACGAGATTCGCGTTACCATCGTTAGACGATTCATCGCGTCTTCACTCACCGTGGTGAATTCTTGAAGCGTTATAGCGATGGAATCATTTCCTTGAGCCATCGGTGGATTGTCGTCTTGGTCCAAAATATCAATATGCAAGGTGTTGATGGGCGCGTATTGTATACCGGTGATGTTCTCCCAAACGACACATTGAACTTGAAGGACGACACGGGGACCTGGCCCTCCAGGCGCCGGCCCCAACGAGTCTCTGTCCAGTAATGCGTTAGAGAATAACGTGTTCTTCGTCATGTGAAAATATTCCGTACCTAAAAGAATTATGATGTTTCGTGGTTCTCTATGAATTTTCAGACAGCTTTCTGGCAATTCTAACGATAATTCATTCGTGCACGTTCGATTGATTTATTATTTTTTTGAATGAGAGAATGTCGAAGAGCTTGGCAATTTGTAAATAGATTTTTAAATTATTTGGATTATAATGAATTTTGATATTTTATATTTTGGATGTGCATCGTAGATATACAATATTTACAGTTTGAAGTGTAATTCAGTGAATATTCAATGTGACTAGTAAATATTTTTGTTATAGTTTTTATTATATTGTGTATAATGAATATTCTTATGTGTGTATGTTATATTTAAGTGTTCGTATTTTTTTATAAAAATACTAAGTATTTATAAAATTTATCTATCCAATTATGTATTTTTCACTTTGTTTTACGATATTTTATTATCTCTATATCAATGGCCTTGTCGAAAATATCATTTTAACAATTTTTTTTATATATAAAAGTACTTGATAATAAATAAATTATTAATTATTTTTTAGATTTTCTTTTTTCATGAATCAAATTAAAAATCTAATGTCTTGTCATATCATTATTGTATATGTTTTATTATGTAAAAACTATTATGTAACATTATCCTATTTATTTATTATCTTAAATTTAGAAGTATCAAATTTAATATCAAAATTATTTTTGCATATATTTTCAAAACTGAAATCGAACATAACATATGTAAAGAACAATTATTTGGAATATTTACAAAATAATATGCAATAATATATTTCAAAATCGATGCATTTTATTCTCATTACTTTTAAATATTTCTTTATTATAAAACTCTTTGTTTTTTATATTAAAAAATTTAGTGTATGATACATACATTTCTTTGATTTTTGATTTTACTTTTTATCGAAAGAATTTTACAATTTATAAAATAAATAAAAATCAAATGGAGCAAAATGATAAGTAAAAATATCTCTTTATTGCATCCTTGAAACTTGTTTGGTTGAACTTACGTTTCTATCATTAATTATATAATTAAATTTATAATAAAATATTCCTTTATAATTCCATCAATCAGACAATAAAATCTTTTTTAATGAGAATGAACTTCTTTAAATTTAATATTTTTGTTATAAATTAAAATGAATTATTCAAATGTCGACTTTCTATATAGAAGAACTAAGAGAAAATTAAATCGAGCTTCATTAATTCTTCATAATTCTATTATCTATAACTATCAAGATCTTTTGTTAAGTTTCACTAACAATAGCATCAATGCCAATTCTCCCAATTCTTCTCTTTATTGAATTCAAAGTTTTAATCGATTAGTAACTGGAAGTTCTCTGTTTTTTCTGATATTTTACATTCTTCTAAAAAAGTAGATATTTATAAAAAAAATACTATTCTTCGATTTCAATGATTTTTTAACATGATGTCAAGATCATTATTCAGAATAACGATCTTGAAATCTTATGAAAATTCTTTTTATAATATTTTCACGTATAATATAATAAAGAAGTCATTGAAGTTGGAAAATAATACTTTTTTTTTTATAAATAATTATCTAAAAAAGTTAAATTAATTAATTTAACTTATTATTTCAGTCTATATTTTAAATATTAGAAAAATAAATTTATCATTAAATTGACATTAAAAAATTGTTACTAAAAAATTTTAGCTTTCATTTTTCACATTTATTGTGGCTAAATTATTCATGACACACATGCAAAATATAAATTCACTTTAAAAATAAATGATTCTAAGACCTCTTCGATTGTGCAGAAAAGGTCAAAGTTGAATACAACACTTGCCATTTAATAGTTTGTAACCGGTGAGTTGAAAATTCGGGCAAATATTAGTATAAAATCCAGGTCCAAATGTGCCGATCATCGCGATTGGTTGATTTTCGTAAATTCTATATCTTGATGTATTCCAAAAACACATGTCCTGTATATAAACGAAATTTTATCAACTTCTTGATAAAGTACGTACAATATCGCTCAAAAATATCCGGATACATGCTTATTTTTATCAAAAAATATTCTAAATTTGAAATTATACATCGAAATAGAATAATTTTGTTCTTCATAAAATAATAAAATATTACTACAAAAAATTAATTTTTTAAAATTAATTTTTTAAATGTTTCGTGCTATCATGTAATAACGAAAAAAATTCTTTGTTGTTTAAAAAATTGTATTTTTTTAATTTCTTAATTAATTTATTAACTATAAATTTGTAAAAAAAAATTATAATAGAAATTATCGGATGAAAAGATTTTTTTAAAGAAAAATGATAAGATTTTATTTTTTTCATACTGCTAAAATATTGACCATTTTGAGATGAATTGGTTGCATTTAAAAACATTTATTTCAAATTGTAAATATAGTTACTAATAATATTGTTAATATTGTTAATTAATTGTTTCCTTTATATTTATTTTTTTATATAATTCTTTAATAAAACGTTACTTGATCTATGTTTATATAATAAAACATGCTTTTTTATTTAGACTTATAGAATATACTAACAAAATTTAACATTTAAAAGTGGAAACATTAAGCAAAATATAAATGTAAATATAAATAATTATGATAAAATATAATAATAAATCATTCTAATGTAGATAATTTTTAATGGTAAATTTTAATACTGCTTTTAATCATTTTTAATTTATATGAAATTTAAAATTCAAATAAATAATATAGTAAAATTTCAATAATTTTCATCTGATAATATGAATATATATAATTTCTTATATCTATCATTCTAATGATCTCTATGATTTTTATTTTCTTATAGATAAGAAATTTATATTATTTATTTATTTATATTAATTTTTATATATCATATATACATATATATCTTATTTTTTTAATAAATTGCATTATTTTATTAACTACAATTTTTGTAATTATTATTTATATTATTTTTTCCTTTCTCTATTTTTATATTATTATATATTACTATATTTTTTTTATTATTCCTTTTATCAATATTGTTTTCCTATTTTTCTTCTTCATTCTTATTTTTCTATCGTATTAAAAATACAATCCATGTACATTTTTCATTGTTTAATAATCCAATGTTTTCTACTGTTCTATTGCACTCTACTAATTCTATTGCACTATATATTCAAAATGTCCGGATACTTATGAACGACAGTTGGAAATTCAACGAATTTCTAGTTACCTGAACGTAATCTGTGCAATTGATATGCATTCCATTAACACGCGACGGTTTCACCTTGATTTCCAATACGGCCTCGTTGCTGCCATTTTCTCTCGCCAGTACCACGATCGTATGATTTTCAGATGTGTCTTTAGCAAGCATTGAAACACCATAGCACCATAACACATACCTTTTAAAGCATAATTTACTTACCTTCTTTCGAAAGATCGTGCAACAATAGGGTGTTCGTTTCGGTATCTATCGAAGCAATTTGTTCGTGGGGCACCTTGATGCGATACTTTGCGTGACTTGGTTCGGACGAGTCGTTCCGAAGAGTCCTCAACTCGAGCAATTTCAAGTTCCACGAAAATTCCCCTCCGTTTCGCGGAAGATACGGTATCCTTACGGTCAAATTCGACTGCGGAAAGTAGAGCTCTGAAAATAGGAAGCATAGCGTGTCCAGTGATTATATTTGGAAGAAGTTTGTGAGGATTTATAGTGGTAGTGGAATAGGTATTCAAGTAAAGTAAATTTTCTTAAGATATGTTTTCAAGTAGAAGGATAATCTTCGCTTGTTTCTATTATTCTTTCTCAAGATGAAACTTTTTTCTTTTAAGTTTCCAGAAGGAACTTTTCAAGAAAAAATCAAATTAATGGAAAGAATTTCCAATTACATATTTTCACTTTTTCTTTTGATTCTTTATTTTCTTTTTGAAGTTATATATTAAGTGTTTTTTATAAATATTTAGAGAAAATAAGAAAAAAAATAATTTTTAACGTTAGATGGGACGTATAACACAATAGATATTCTTTAATATAAATAAATTTCTATCATTATCTTTTAAAAGATAAAACACAATAAACTTGATCGGTTCATAATTATTCGGTATCTTGATCATTCAAAGTCTCGTTTATCTTCAGAGTCTTAATCTCGATTATTCGTGGTTTTTAATTATACGAATACATTTGAAAATAAAATTTTCAAAAATTGTTAATCAAAAGTTATTTTTCATTAAAGGACATTGAGTTGAAAATGATTATTCCATAGTTTTTATTCTCAATATAATATCCATTGACAAATTAATCTGATAGTAACTCTCAAAAATTTTACTTTCATACATAATCATATCCTCACGCCAATCTTATGTACTTTTTTTTATTCTATAATTAGTTTTTTTCTAGTAGATTTCTCTTCCTCATTTTTTGAGATTGATAGGTAATTATTAAATAATCATTATTATTGATTATACATCAGGTTTAATTATAAGGTTCTTGATATGTAAGATTTATAATCGAAACATAAAAATTAATAAATAAGGTTATTAAGTAAAGTATTTCCTTTGTTCCTTGATTATCTAATCCGGATTTATTCAGGCTGTCTCTAACTTTTATTTTATTTTCTGCATATTTTTTGAATTTACGAACTTACAACACATATGCATACATGATGCGTTCATATAAATCAATGCAATTGATTGATTATTTATAAATTTTTGTTTTCGAATTAAACTTTTTACACTGTATCTTAAAATAAAATTAACGAAGATATCGCCAACGACCATACCACGTAGGAACTACTGGTTCTCGTTCGATCACCAAAGTCAAGCTACGTCGGGCACGGTTAGTACTTGGATGGGTGACCGCTTGGGAACACCGTGTGTTGTTGGTTTTTTTTCATCACATTTATAATTTTTGTTCAATTAATAATTGTTCAATGTTATCGATATTGAATGTCACCATTTTTAAATAATCTATATCCGATTTTTTGTACAAGTTTTGCATCGATTTATTTCGCTATTTGCATATGATGCATATATGACAGTATAGACATATTTGTAAAATTGAGAACAGCATTGAGAACAAAAAAAAAGTATTAAGTATTTAAATAAAAGTAACGAATAATAGAATTAAAAACGAAAATAAAATAATTTTTAAACAAGATTTTAAACATTTGTTATATTTCTAATTATTTTTTTTAATATCTTTTTTTACTTTTTTAACTCTAATAAAAGATATGCGTTATTACATATACATTTAAATGGATTCTAATTTATTTTGTTATTTTCAGAAACTATAAGTTATTATACAATAATCATAGTTTCAGAATATTAATGAATATTTGAAACAGATGTATTGTGAAACAGCGAATTCGTTGCGTGTGTATTTAATATGAGAAATTTGAAATTTATAAATAAATGATAAAATGTTTAATTCCAATGGTATCATGCCAAGAACAAACTCGGAAAAAAAAAAGAAAAATCTAAAAAAATAAACTTTTAAACTGAATCCAATGTTTAATCCCAATGGAATTTGTAATTATTAAAAACTTATTAAAAAAATTATTAAAAATTTTTAATTTCATTTGTTATAAGTTTTTTATAAATATATTATTTTTTATTATTATATCAGCTCTTTCAAAAATTACATTGTTTTCATTTTAAATTTATTTCATTAAATTATTTAAGATTTAATAATTTCATATATAATTTCCTTCCTTCTATATGTTCTAAAGTATTTAAAATATTACTTTTCCTCTGTGTCACTTTTGTCCTCAATTTACGTAATAATAAAATTATAAATTCAACCTCGCAACAGTCTTTAACCTACATTTCCCTTATCTCTTTCATTTATTTTTTTCTTAAAGAGGAGATTCCTGGTTGATATTGTTTCATAGAAAAAGTGACCGCAAATGTAATATTTTCGATCGCGAGACGAAAATAAACGTTTCGTCTCGACATTGTAAAGTTCAACGGTGAGGGTTCGCGTACGGTCAACTTCGTGGAAACAACTTGTGTCAAGGTGAGCGTTTAATCGATACACGGCAGGTAGTTAAAGTCCTGCTCGCCAATTGTGCGCGCACGTTGTTGGGGTAAAGATCACGATCAAGATTTGATGTTTTCGCGAAATAAATCTTGGAAAGAGGGAAAATCATCATTTATGGAACGATTCGTAATCCAACATCATTCGACGTCTACCGTTTCTTTGATCTGCCGATAAATTGATCGATCGTTGAGTGATCGATCGTTTATCTGTCATTTCATTCCACTGTCCATCGAGAATAGTATAGAGACTGTAGAGAGTGGACACAGAAGTGGACATAGAATTGTATAGAGTGGATGAAAATTTTCGTGTCGAGCATCGCATGTAGGAATTTTTAGACGCTTCGATAATTCCACGTCGTAGAAGGATGCGTATTTATTTCGTAGAAGGGATAGGGAAAGAAGATATTTCGGTAGGGAAAACCCTTGGCTATGGAGAGGGTGAAAATACGCTGGTATACGATCAAGGGGGAAAGAAAGAGCGTACTAAAGTTAAAAAGTGCTAACAAGTAATTATTGGGTTGGTAAGAAAATAATAGTGGCTTTGTGAATGCAAAAATTAATTTACTCTTAATGTATTCGCGTAACCGGCTTTGAAATTTATTTAGTTTATACAAATAGTGTAAAATTGTTATGTAATTTAATTAGTAATAATAATTTTAATTAATAATAATAGCCATCCAAGATTTATTTTGCAAATATGCAATTTGATCACATAGTTTGATAAATCAATATTTATTAACATATAAGTTTATTTATATATTTTTCATATGGATTTATAGTTTCTTTAAATGAATATAATTTAAATTAATATAATGAGTGAAAATAGAAATATGTTACTTCTAAATGCAATAATGTAGATTAATTCATTAAAATTAATTCTGAATAATTAGACGAGAATATATCACTCTCATAAAATGAATTTATTATAAATATTTATGTTTCATTTATTTGAAATTATTTATCTTATCAAAATCATAATTTTCTCATCTTTCCAATATTATTCTACATATCACGCACAACACGTTTTCACTTATATTAATTTGACTGTTGGATAACTGTTGGCTAACTTAACAAATGAATAATGTTGCATAATTTTTATGTTACAAAGTTTTATACATTTATTTAATTACATTATGAGCTATTCCATAAATCCAGGAACAAAATTCTATTTTTTAATATATTTTTTTATATTTTAATATTTTTCAATTTCATTATATGTTTATCATTATTAAATATTATTAATAATTATGTAAGAATAATTAAATAATAATAAAAAAATTTAATATAAATAATATTTAATATATTTGATCTTATTATATTATATTCAATATATTTGATTTACAAAAAATGTATTTGTAAATGTATAGCTAAAACTTAACATATAATAAAATAAGAACATAGAATAAAACGAAAATTAAAACATATCTTTGCATTTCTTTTTATTTTTTGAACTTGATTTTAAAGATAAAAATAAACAACATAGAAAATGTTGTAACACAAAAATGTTGATTGAGATTTATTTATTAATAATTATTTATTAATTATTAATAATTTATAAACAAATTTTAAACGTTAAAGCGTTAAACAAAGCAAGGTAAAGATAAAATGAGACAATCTTACTTCATGATGTAAACTTAAATTACTTAAAACTTAATAAATATTTAAAATCTCATTCGACATTTTTATATATCAATTTTTATATTTATATTGATCCATTCTACAAAGATATTCTACAAATATATTGTTATTCTGTACGAAGGAAATAATATTTTCATTTATATAGATATGTAGGTGGAAACATTTAATAGATTTATGTGCATATGTATTTCCTTTATTATAGTCCGTATATTTAAAAGATTATTCTAATCTATGTTGCTTAAAAATTCTGTCCAAGCATCTACCGTATGCTGAATGCTGCTTACTAACGTCCACATACTTATCTTCATAATCGCCTTAATTTAAAGTTAAAGTCTGACTTTTAAAAATAAAAGAAATACCTAATCTATTTTTAATTTTCTAAAATAAGCATATAAAATGAGATTTTTGTTCTTCTAGATTCACGGAATGTGTATTATCAAACAATGAAAAATTTTTTCGAATAATCAAGTATATTAAACATTGAAACGATCCGAAAATTTTTTCGAATCTAATCTAAAAAGTTGTTCACTAATTTACTGATTAAAAAAAGAAAACGATCTTCACATTTTAACTTGATATTTTAGAATTATCGTGAGAGTTGAGTTTATTAAAATTTATTAGAATTGAATGACACTAAAAAAACGATAGATCGTCTATTTTAGATCTCTAGAGGCACGAGATCATAGTAGCTGGAAACCCTATTCGCACATCGAGTTACGATTCCCGAAAACAGAGACCGTGAACACGATACGCGCAGCCATACAACTAGACACAGCCCTCACTGTTGTCGATTTGCAAGGATCTTCCGCGTTCGCGCGGAGCGGGGCCAGACAGGGCCACCGCACCTTCATGGGACCTCCATGAGACCACCGTACAGCCACCATCCCGATGCACGTGCCCCATGTCTGTAAATTGATTCGTTCTCCCCGTGACGGTATTACTGCACGACACCAGGATACAATTTATTCGAAACAG